GGGTGGATCATAACAAACTGCATAGCCTTGAGAAGAAGGAGAATTCCAGAACACTTGACTGTCCTCATGCAGGACCTGGACTGGACCTGGACCAAGAGGCTGTTGTTCACCCAAAGCAAGGGCGTACTGCTTGCCTGAAAATCAGGAACGATGTGCATCGGTGGCATTGTATCCTCTCATGTAATCGGTATCTGAGCAAATCATCAGAGAAGCTGGCTCGTGTGAGGAAGAATGTCGCATCAGGATCGGAGGCAGCGTATCAACAGCCTTCTGCAGACAACACAAACATGCTCGGTGAAAGTGGGCAGGACTTGAAGCACTTGCTTTTAACGATCAAGGATTGCAGCCTTCAAAATGAATTACAAGCCAATGCAAAGAAACCCCAAATCCTCACAGCTGGACCATAGATAACATCAGGATCAGAGGAGAAAAGGTGGACGTTGTGAAGGATTCATCTCATTTGCATCCACAGGCAGTGCTCATGGGAGCAGCAGTCCTGAGATCAAAGATGCTCTGCATCGGGCAAATCCGCTGCCCAGCTCTGCTGTGGAGTGCTGAAGAGGGATGCCACTCTGAGGCCGAGGGTGGGCCTGATCGTGGTGTTTTCAGTGGTCTCGTAGGCATGTGAGAGTTGGGCATTGAGTAACAGACGGAAGGAGAATCAATGTGTTTGCAGCGTGGTGCTGCCAAGAGGGTCGTGCCACCGCGGAGGGCTAGAGGATCTGCTCTGAAGAAGGGAGAGTGGCAGGACTCGGTCCCACGTTCTTTGGACACGATATCAGGAGAGACCGTCCCTGGAGACATGCTGGGTGAGGCAACGGGGCAGTGAAGAGAGTAAGACCCTCAGTGGGATGGACTGGCACAGTGGCTACAGCAGTGGTGGCAGAAGCAACAATGGTGAGGCTGGCTCAGGACTGGAAAGGGATTCTGCCAGGGCGCTCAACAACAAAATGTTGAAATAGTAGCTGTTGTTTTCTATGTATTTTTATCCCCCACCTCCCTAATAAAAAAGAGAGGACTCATGAGGGAGAGGGGAGCGGGGAGGGAGGGGAAAATGACCTAATGTCGGGGGTTTAAGTGGAGAGAAAATGTTTTGAGAATGTTGTACAAATGCGCTTTACACAATTGATGTGTGTATGGATTGCAATAACAGTTGTATGAGCCCCTAATAAAGTGTTAAAAAGAAAGTAAAAAAAAAGAAAAGAAAGAGAGGCCTCATCAGGGGCTCTGAGGTGGGGAAACTGAAGCCCCGAGAGGGGGGTGAGGCATGAAGGGTCTCGCGATGGCCAGAGGCCCCAGAACCCAGTGCCCCGCTGTTCCATGCACCCTGTAGGCGCCTCCCCAGGACCAGTCTGCTAGTCTGGCTCTCCTGCCCTCGCCCCGGTGCTGAGAATGCCCTCTTTGTGCCAGGCCTGCTGCTCTGTGTGAAAGCTCCGATTGTCGCAGGGAGAGTGGTGCCGGCCCCCACCCCGCCCCTCCCTGCTGTGGGCCCTTTGTGCTCGGGGATCTCTGTACAGCATCCAGCCTGTTGATGCAGAGCACCCAGCGGGACCGGGAGCTGGTGGCCTGCAGTGGCCTCCCCGGAAGGGAGCAGCTGCAGCCGGGCTGGCTGGGTGGCCCGGGTCACCTGTGGGTCTGAGCGCTGCCCAGACACAGAAAGAGGCCCCACCAGGGAGTCAGAGGCCTGTGGCCCCAGCCCTGCTGGGCCCTAACTGGCCTGCTCTGTGACCTCTCTCTGAGCCTCTCCTTCCTCATCTGTAAAATCAGAGCTGGAATGGTAAAGAGCTGGGGGTGGGGGGTGGGCCCAGGGAAGATTCCGGTTTGGGCCTGACTGCCCAGTCCCCACCCAGCATTGTTGCTTCTGAGCGGGTGCCCCTTGGAGCCATGTGGAGTGGGGTGAACCACAGCTGCTGGGCATGGCAGAGGGAGCCAGACACCAGGTGGGGGTGGGGCGGGGCTGTGGGGTTTGTGGGTACGCAGGGCAGGGGTGGGGCCCACGGACCCAATGGACACGCTGTAGTGGTCAGGCTGCTGGGAGAACTCGTGCTGGGCGCTGTGTGGTTCTTTCCTTTGTGATTTTCCTTTGTGATTTTCCTTCTTTTCCTTTGTGATTTTTACCCCCCTTCCTCCCCAGACCATTGACTTTGTGAACGCTAACATTCGCAGAGGGATTGAGAACTACTATGACGATCTGGACTTCAAAAACATCATGGATTTTGTGCAGAAGCAGGTGAGACTCTGGTGCCATCTGCCACCATTCAGGCCCTGCGCAAAGGGGTGACTAACCAAGTGGAGAGTTGAGGACTGGCAGCAGATGGCCCACTGAGAGGCGGAGGCCCCTCCCATCTCCCTCAGTCCTTGGTTCACACACCTGGGCCGGGATGTCTTCCCTCTGCTTGTCCCTCCGGTTCCATGGAACCTCCTCCGCTCATGTGCGCTCACACATACACACAGGGGTGGAGGCAGGTGTAGTAGCTAAAAGCCACTAAAGGGTTCCAGCCTCTAATGGACAAAGGTCCTTGAGCTGGGGGTGACTCCAACCACCCAGCCCAGGGCCCCTTTGCCAAATTCCTTCACTGACAGGGAGCTCACTCCCTGCAAATCCAGGGGAGTGAGCCCTTCATCAATCCCAGTGCCCCCGTATCGGGGGACAAAGCCAGCCTCCCCTTTCCTCCCTGACACTCTTTGAATACGATGGTGGCCATGTACCTGTCCTTCCAATCGGTTGGTGCGACCGTAGTCATTGTGTGGTGGGTTAGCCGTGCCTCTGGGGCTTCTGCACATCAGTCACATGGAGTCCCAGACCTTAGGTGCTCCGTGTGCATGGGGGGAGCCCAGTACTCCATCCTCCAGGGCTGGGTGAGGATTGCCTTGACTTGCTTCAGTGCACGTGCCTGGCCAGGCGCTTTGAGAGACCTGAAGAGACATTAGCTGTGTGACCACACTGTCTCCTTCTGGACGAGGACAGCAGTGCGATGGGGCTGGGGTCCCACCCAACCCCAGCAGCTGGTTCTGGGGGCATGACCACGAATGCTTCAGATGGCCTGGTCACTCCAACTTCTCACGAGCCTGAGTCACATGCAGTGGCCACTCCCTGGGCTCAGCCCTGAGTTGCCTGGCTGCTCGAGGTGACCATGACAGGTGCCACCTTCAGAGCCCCTTCTCTTCCCTGGCCGGGCTGGCTGCCGGTCCCCAAGAGTCCAGCCCGCTCCAGGAGGAGGGAGGTGTTCTCCTTGGAGCCAGCCACCAGCGAGCCTGGGATTTCTTCTCCAACGGGGGTGGTGCCCGTGACTAATGGCCGCTGGGCTCCTGCGTGGTGGCAGACCCTGTGCCCAGCGCCTCATCCACGCCACCACCTCCCGGCAACCCCTGCAGTGACCTGATGAACTGTGACTTTAATGTGCTTCCTGTGGCCCCACCCCACCCATCTGCCTCCGGACAGGGGCCTGTCCAGTGTGACAGCCCCTCTTTCTTGTTTGCTCCCTTCCTCAGTTTAAGTGCTGTGGTGGCGAAGACTACAGAGACTGGGTCAAAAACCAGTACCACGACTGTGATGCCCCCGGGCCCCTGGCCTGCGGGGTGCCCTACACCTGCTGCTTCAGAAACACGGTACTGCCTCCCCTGGGGGTGCGGGCTGGTGGGCGGGGCCACCTCCTGCTGCTCAAGTTTAGGATGGGAGTGGGGTGGGGGGCGTCGGGGAGGGGGGCAGCAAATGAGAGGTGGTGGCCAGAGGCCAGGCTTTCATGGCCTTAGGGGTGCGAGCAAGGGATGCATCTGGAGGCGCAGTGGGGGGACTTTGTCTTTAGGAGTGGTGGGAGTGAGCACCCACCATTGCAGTTGCCCAGTCCCTTGGTTTATCCACTCCGTTCGCTCTCAGCACTCAGAGATAGGCTCTGTGATTTCCCAGCTTACAGGTGAGGAGAACGGGGCACAGAAGGGTTAGCTGCCTGGGCTCAGCGGGACCAGGCTGGGATGAAATGCAGGCAGCTGAACGCTGAACTGTGTGCAAGCCAGGCTCCGCCAGTGGCACGCCCAGAGAGCCAGGGCAGGGCTTGCTCTGGGGATTCCGGTGACCGTGGAGTTGAGGCCTTGCCGCTCACCAGCAAAAGGGTGTTTGGAAGGGGGGTTGGTGATGTGAACAGTAGCCTCCACCTCTCTCAGTGCGGTCCCCTCCCCAGCCACTTGAGACCCTGCCCTGTGTAGCCACTGCTTAAAAAGCAGTGTCTTTGTCAGCCCTCTGTGTTTGATCGATGGTGCTCAGAAATCGCCTCCTTTCTGCCTTAAAATGGGGCAGTGAGCTAGGCAATTACTCATCTCTGAAGAGTCATGGAAATTTTCTCTTCTGACGCTTGCCTCTGCCACTCAGTGCCCACTGCGGATTCTGTAAACGGAGCAGCTGCTGCTGGGTGGGGGTGGGGCTGGGGGCAGGGCCCCACCCACTGTGTTGGAGCCAGTGCTGAGGGCACCCAGAGGGGCGGGCGAGCTGGGAAATTTGAGCTGCTGTTTTAGGATGGTTGGCTGAGCACCAGGGGTGCTGGGGAGACTCGGGGCGGTTTCAGGGGCCTGTGAGGGCAGCAGCGCCTGCATGTCCAAGTTGACAGAGAAGTGGAGGCTCAGCTTGTAGTCATTCATTCATTCATTCGTTTGTTAATGAATTTTTCGATGTGCTAGACACAGTTCTGGTTTCTGGGGATGCAGGGGACGCATGGAAGCCTCTGCCCATGGGGAGCTATCATCCTAGGGGGGCAACTGGCAAATAAAAGGGAGGAAACCTATGCAGGCACCTCAGAGGTTCACCAGTTTGGTTCCAGGCCATTGCAAAGCAATGGCACAACAAAGGGACATGAGCTTTGTGGTTTCCCAGTGTGCATGGAAGTTCGGGCCACGCTGGCAAGTATGCAGCAGCATTCTGAACAAGCTTGAAAGGGCACCTGAGACGAGATCAGAGAGGCCATGGTGCCCCAAGGCTACAGCCAGGACACTGGCATTGCCTTCTGCTGCACCACCTTGAGGGAGCTGGCTGGGCTCCCGGAAGGAGTGGCGGGAGCCACATCCCGGGGATGCTGTACTGAGAAAAGACTGTGGGGCAGGGGTGGACACAGGGATTTCAGTCAGGAGCCTGTGCCAGGTGTCACAGTCTCTGCGGGAAGCAGACTCGGAGATGCCGGTCCAAGTCTGGAGGTGCAGTAGAGGGTGCTCTTGGAATTGCTGCCTGTGGCAGGCAGGAGGTGGAAGCAGGCCCGGGCAGAGGCAGGAGTTGGGCTGTGGTGCAGTCTCAAGAGGCCCTCATCCACACCTTGGAGGCTGTCCCAAGAGGATCCTTCAGCGCAGTCCTGTGTTGGAGCTGGGGCCAGAGCACAACACCTCAGGTTGACCAGTCTTGGAGTGGCTATGCGGGATGGGACGTAACGGCTCTGTTCAGCGGAAGCCACCCCCTTGAGTGACAGCATATGCTGACAGCTAAGCCCCTCGGCCGGCCGGCAGCACTCTCGGCAGTTGGAGGCGTCCTCACAGCGTCCACCACCCCAGGCTCAGAGCCAGGGGGACTGGGGAAGGTGTTAAAGTGAGGCCAGATGGAGGTTCAGTTTGGGAAGTAGCCAGAATGCAAGCACAGGGTTTGCTGGGGCCATGTCCACCCTGCCCCACAGTCCCCGGGGTCTGGTTCAAGTCAAAGTGGGCAGCTGTGGGAGGTGGATGCAAGAGAAATCAAGGAGACCAAGGTTTGGGCCCACATCACAACACAGACCAGCCTTCTCACCGGAGTGGGAAGACCCGGGCAAGGCTGCCCTCCTGTCTGTCACTTCCGTGAGCTGCACACGGTGGACAGCATGTCCACCCTGTGCATGGTGGCAAGAGCATGGGGCAGAGGTGTGGCAGCTCAGGAGTTCCTTTTCCAAGAGGCCCCAGGACAGCTGACTGCAGGGCCTGCAAGCCAGTCTGTGTCTGTCGTCTGTAGGATGTGATTCCGGGTTCAAATCCAGGCAGGCTTTGCCTTTGTAATGACGCGGCTGCACTGAGTACTGTGGGGAGGAAGGAGGTTTTCCTTCCGGGAGGTAGAGCAGGTTCTGGGCTGCACCCCAGGGCAGGGGCGGGTCCGGCTCCAGGGCTGGCACAGTGCTTACCCTGCTGATTCTTGTCCCCTTCTTGCATATTATGTTGTTCACTGATTTACTGTTAATGGCTCATTTTCTGTCGCCTTTGCCAAAATATAAATCCCAGGAAGAGTGGGGCTTTATTTTCAGTCTCTTACATTCCAAGTGTCAAAAATAGTTCTCACTATTTATTGATTAAATAGAAGAATGGATGAGAGGGAGGCGCCCCCTGCCAGTGTACCCTTGTGCACTGCACTCCCACACCCGGCTCCCTCTGGGGGGCTGGGAGATCCCACAACTAATGCTGGCTCCCAAGTGGGTGCTGAGCATTGATTGCTGGGTGTGAGGCCCTCGGAGAATTACTGCCACACTTCCCCAGCCCATGATGACGCCTGGGGCCCCGCCCTCAGGGAAAGAGCAGTTGCTGGCCTCGGCCTTCTTAGGCCTGGAAAACACCGCAGCCTCACCGGGCCCTGCGCTAGCACCGGGATTGTCCTATCTCACAGAGCAACCGTGGGGGGCTACTGGTCACGCTCCTTTGTAGACTAGGAGACGGAACAGCCTTCCGTCCATTCAGTAAACCGAAGGGGGGGAGGGGGGGCTTCAAAAGTGCCTGGGAACATCCCACTGGCTTTCCAGTGAATGTTTGCCAGGAACTTTGGAACCCTGCCTTCATGGATGACCACCACAGCTACTGTCACCAGGGGTGGGGGTAGGGTGGTGGGTAGGGCTCTCTTGCACATTGTCGATGGGGGGCCCTGTGGCTGCGGGACCTGCCTGGTTGGGACTTCCTTGGCTGTGGCTTTTCCCAGGACGGAATTTGGGGGCAGCTCAATGTGACCCCTCACAGAGGACCCCGCTCTGGCCCTCGGGGAAACCGTAGCTGGCTTTGTGGCCGAGGTCTGAGGTTTTCCTTCCAGTGAACCAGCGATCACCTTGCCCTCTCGCCAGATGACCTCATCAGAAAAGCCGGGTCTTGGGGCCGGCGCTGCGGGTGGGTCGGTGGTCTTCCTCCAAGCACCAGGGCCCAGCCACCTCATGCCCCCTCCCTGGACATCTCTTGGAGGGAGGGGGTTGAGCTGCAGGTTCTAGAGCTAGACTGACTGGGACTGCATCTCCGCTCCACCCCGGAGCTGTGACTGGGGACAGTGGTCCCGCGTGAGCTCAGTTCTCTGATCTGTGGGATGGGGAGAACAGCAGGGGTACTGTTTCTTTTCCAGACCGAAGTTGTCAATACCATGTGTGGCTACCAGACGATTAACAAGGAGGTAAGGTCTCTGAATCCCTTCCCCAGGAAAGACCCCGTGCCCACAACCACCCAGGGGCTCGGAGGGGTGGGGCTGCTGAGGTCTCCCTGCATTCCCAGGAGCCAGGGGGGTGCTGCGTTTTTCCACCCCCACGCGGACCCAGAAGGGCTCAAGGGCTCAGGGAGCCAGGATCCCCTTAGGCTGGCAAGCTTGTGGGAGCCCTACCACAGTCCTGGCTGGTATCTCCAGAGCTCAGGCACACCCGAGAGCCCAGCCTGCCTCTGCCCTTCGAGCCGCTGGTCTGTGGTGGCTCAGCTTGGGACCCATGGGCTCTCTCAGGGCCCCCTCTGGGTCAACCTCCTGGATGACTTCCCTGGACACGGAGAGAAGCTGGCGGTGGTGCTGACAAGGGAACAAAACGTGAGGATGGTCTAGAGAGGCCTCAGAGAGCCCTGGTGGCATGGTGGGTGTGTACCAGGCTGGTACCGAGCTCTGGAGATACCAGCCAGGACTGTGGTGGGGCTCCCACAACCTTGCCAGCCTAAGGGGATCCTGGCTCCCTGAGCCCTTGAGCCCTCCTGGGTCCGCGTGCAGGTGGAAGTTCACAGTCAGAAGTTCAAAACCATCAGCTGTTCCTCAGAAGGAGGATGAGGCTTTCCACTCCCACAAAGAGTTACAGCCTCGGAACCTCGCTGGGGCAGTCCCACCCTGTCACTTGGAGGCTGGGTGACTGGATGGCCGTGAGCTGGGTTGGAGGGAGGTCTCTGAGTCGGCCCCCCAGCCAGCAACATCACCGGGAGCCTGATCATGCCTGCCCGGGGCTCCGCCCAGCGCTCTCAGATCAGAACCTTGGGGGGTGTGGATGGGTGGTGCGGTGATTGTGGTGCATGGCAAAGTTTGAGGAGCCCAGACCAGCCGTGAGTCTCAACATTCCGGACTCCACCGACAGTTGTATCATCAATGCTGTGAAACCACGAGAACCGGGAAGACAGCCCAGCTTTTCCAGGTCTGGAAAGCTGCTCCTTGGACAGGGAGCAATCTTAACTGCTTCTCTACACCCCTCTTAGTGGGAAACACGGAGTTTTCCTTCCCGATGAAGGAGCCTTGGTGGAGCGGTGGGTTAAGTGTCCGGCTGGACTCTTGGGGAGAAAAAGGGGATGTTGCCTCCGGTGAAGACTCACAGCCTTGACAGGCTGTGGAACATTTCAGCTCTTCTCTGTCAGTAGCAGTTGGAGTCAACTGGTGGCAGTGAGTTTGGGTTGTCGGTGTTTTCTCTGACGGGCTTCTGCCTCACACGGGCTCCGTACTTGGTAATTCCTTTTAGCAGTCCCTGGGTGGTGCTAATGGCTATCACACTCCACTGCTAACCGAAAGGTTGCAGGTTCGAGTCCACGCAGAGGGACCTGGGGAGAAAGGCCCGGCGATTGGGAACGCTGTGGGGCATAGCACATGCGTGGTGACCCAGCCTCAGCTTCAAGGCCATGGCGACTGTTTTTGTTGTCCTCCCCACACGCCCAATTTCAAAGCCGTCAGCACCACGGCTGGAGGTAAAGCCAGCGACAAACGAGAACAGCTTACCATGATGTCACGGAT